ATGCAACTCAGTGCTGAGCCCTTGCCTGGCAGCATAACAAGTCCTATTATTCCCTCCCCTCCACTCAAAAAAGGAAATGAGAGTCTTTTGCTTCTCTGATCCAAGACTCCTGCCCCATTGAGTTCCACTGGGGCTGGAGCCCACTCTTGCCCTCGCCACACCCCTCTGTCTCATCCTGCTCCCTCAGAGCCTGGTGTGAGTTCATCAGCTGCAAGTACCCGGCCTACCCTCCTCTCAGCACCTGCTGTCTGTTCCACACACTGGCATACTGTGCTCAGATGTGTTTTCTCCCTCTAGTACCTGCACCTGCCATTCCCTGGATGTAGCATGTGTGATTTTAATCGACCCACATCCTTAAAAGGACACAGTTCTCTTTTAGAAGGAGAGCGCCTGAGGCCCAGAGAGAGTAACTGACGGGCCATAGGTCACACTGCATACAGGTCAGCTTTTTCCCCAGGTACATGAGAGCCAGACATCCTCAGAGCAGGAGGGCTGTAGCCCAAGCCCATCTGTCTCTCCTGGATGCATCATTCAAGCCAGGCATTCTCTTAAATCCTATAAGGGTCTCTTCTTGCCCCTCTCCATAGAATGCCAACTTCTAACCTCCTCCCAAACCTAAAGCCTGTCTTGGAAGCTCTCTCCCTCCGCCCCCATCTGCCATCTTAGCCTTGAAATAGATGCAGAAAATACCTTTCTGAGCCACGTGCCCACCCACCGCCTGCCTACTTTAAAACCTGCTTGAGAGTTTTTTTTTTTTTCTACCTTTACTATAAAAAGACACCTTGGAAACGCAGCCCTGGCATTTGCCATGGTGTTCCTGAGTCTTCAGTACATATACACCATGGTCATTCTGAGGAGAAAGATCACAGGAAGGGAAGCACATTCAGCTAGCCCCACCTTGCTAGGCAACCCTCTGTCTCAGTTTCCCCACCAACAGCATACATCTGCCCAACTTGCTTTCCCTTCAGGCACACCCTGGCTTGAAGAAAGAAACCCAATCTCCCTCCCTTCAAGACAGAGTCTCACTATGTAGACCAGGCTGGCCTCAAACTCAAACTCCTCCTGTCTCAGCCTCTAGAGTGCTGGGATTGCAGGTATGTGCCTCTTAGCCAGGCCCAAGCTAATTTCTTTTTTCTTTTTTTTTTTTTTTTTTGGTTTGGTCTTTTTGAGACAGGGTTTCTCTGTAGCCCCAGCTGGCCTAGAACTCACTATGTAGACCAGGCTGGCCTAGAACTCACAGAGATTCACCTGCCTCTGCCTCCCAAGTACTGGGATTAAAGGCATGTGCCACAATGCCCAGCTCAAGCTAATTTCTTAACTCAATTTCTCTCTCAAAATATTTCAGCAGTCGCAGCATGTCAAAACTATCAGGGACAAAAGTGGGGGACAAGTGTATCACTGCCTATCCTCAGTCCTCAACAGTCCCCCTTCTCCAGCCAGATTCCCATGGGGAAGTCTTCACTTGTGACTGAGAATCACCCAGCTGAGGGTACAGTCTGCCTGAGAAGGCCAGGATGTCCAGGTTGACCACTGAGGTTCAAGGACAGCTTGGGATATCCCTGGCAGGGCCCAAAGGATAGAGCAAGGATCTGTGTTTTCTGAAGCTGAGCCAACGACAGGAGGGCAGGATGTCTATGGAAAACGGATGGAAAGGCAGGCCTTGTCACATGACTGGGCTCACAAAACCCCTAGTGCTAAGGGGCCAGGTTTTGAGGGACCCCCACCAAAGGCATTAACCTCAGTCCCACACTCAGGGGGACTCTTTGGCCCCACTCTGGGCCTACACGCTAGCACCAACCTTATCAAAGACACCGTGCTTCCCTCCAGGCCCTCAGTATCACCCCAGGCCCAGCTGACCACACCTGAGGCTCACACCTACCCTGTGTGTCTCTATGACTGCAGTGCAGAGTCTTCAGGCCCAGTACAGAGCAGGCATTCAGGGAACATCTCATCTGGAGAGTCTGGACTGTTCCCCTCCTCCATACCTCCTTCCTGCCAGCTACCTGCAGGCTTTCTAAATCACACAATTGCCAACTCCTATGAGTGGCAATGAACAAGCAGACTTGCCTATATGTCTCTTTGAATACCCACAGCAATCCTAGGCACTTTTAAGATGGTCTCATTTGAGGACGGGGATGCAGTTCAGTTGGTAGAACACTTGCCTAGTGTGCACCCAAGCCCTGGGTTCCATCCTCAACCATACATAAACCAGATGTGGTGGCACATGCTAGCAATTCCATCACTCAGGAGAAGCAGGTGTATCACAAGTTCCAGGTTATCCTCACCTACAAAGCAAGTTTGGGGCCAGCTTGGGCTACATGAGACCCTGTCTCATATATATATATAAAAGGCTCTCCATGGTTCTCCACATTTATCTCCAGGATAAAACGGACTACCCATAGCCTGCCTACCCTCCCAACTCCTTTCTGTTGTTTTGCCCAGCTACACAGGCCCCCTGACCCTGGAGTTTTGAGAGTCACCCTGTTACATCCCACTTCCTGGCCTTTGCCCAGCTGTGTCTTGTACCTGGACCCTGCCCTCCTTTCCTGAGAACTTCCCTGCTTTCGTCTACCCATCTTCCTTCCCGAGTGCCTGCCCTTCTCTCTCTCTGGCACACATCCCTGTTATAAGTGCCCAGCTACACATCCACCCTCAGGGACCTGTACTATCCAGGAGGCCAGAAACCAAGAGTCATGGGGCGTAGGGCAGAGCACAGAGGACTGGTGACAGTGGGCACCCAGCTGGGGCTACAGGTGGAGGTGGTGGGGTCATGACTGCTGCAGAGCAAGCCTGATCTCTAGGGCAGCCCAGAGCCCTGCTAAGTGCTAAGTGTTCTCACCTAAGGGGTGAGAACAACACAGTCCCCCAATGCCTGCTGTGCTCCAGGCATCAAGTACTTGACTCTGTGGTTAACTCCCTCATCCAGGTCTCTGTGATAAGACTCTGCAGTGTATCTTCATTTTCCAGAGGAGGAGGCCCTGGTAGCTCAGCCAGGCAGTGAGAGAGAGGATTTCAAGTCAATGCAGGGGAGCTGGCAGTAGCACTCTACCATGTTGGAGGTCCAGATCTGGGAGCTTTGGTAGCATGTAGGGATTCTGCCATGGACCCTAGCCTTGTGTTCACAGCTGGGCATGGGGTGGGAACAGAGCCAGGAGAGGCTACTCTAGAAGGGCCTCAGCAGGGAGACTGTGGCCTTGGGGTGAGGAGCAGGACCAAACTACACTGTCCCTGGGGCTGTGTCCCTGCTGAGGCCCTGCTCCCACAGGGAGGGCAACCCAGCCTCATTCTGAAGGGTGAGTCACTGAGTTGGCCGAGTGGGGCACCAGGGACCGTGGGAATCAGGACAGTTCTTGTCAGAGGGGGAAGGGAGATGGCAGCCTGAGGAATCCCACAGAACCCTCCTCAACGAGGGGCCCACAGAGGGCCGCCTTCCCTGCCCACAGCACTTCCCTCCTTCCCACTCTCCCCAGCCCCAGCCCCAGCCCAAACCTCCAGAGCCAGGCACAGCTATGGTGGGGCTATGGCTCTGGGAAGAATCCTGGCCACCCTAGCCTCAGCATTGCACAGGGGCTGAACCTTGCCTAGTAGTTGAGCTGTGCTCCTGGGACAGTCTGTCTGTGCCTCACCCCCTGTGACCTTTCTTGTCAAGGGTGTGCAGGGTGGTAGGCATCTGGCTGTAGGAGTCTGGGCCAAGAGAAGGAATCTGGGCTTGCTCAAAGCCCCAGTGTTGTGTACACCCACAGGGGAGAGTTAATCTTAGGAGAATCTTGCCACCACTGGGGGCCACAGAAAAAGGGGCAGGCAGGGACCCAGGGACTCTGAGCAAGCATCAGAAGGCTGGGCTCCTCCGTTTGCAAAGTAGATGTCAATTGGAGGAGACCCAAGGAGGAAAAATGAGGATCCACAGGCCCGCCTTCTGTTTCCATCCTCAGTGGACTGGCTGCACCCACGGCCAACTCACAGTGATCCCCTAACTTGGCCCTTTTGCCACTGCCCATTCCAGCCTCAGACACTTGGGCCAACCACCACCAGGCCCTACAGTTCTCTGCTCCCATTTCAACTCCTCCCCCTCATCCTCCTGGGCCCCATCTACTTAGCTGGGCTATGTGGATTCTCTCTCTCTCTCTCTCTCTCTCTCTCTCTCTCTCTCTCTCTCTCACACACACACACACACACACCACCTTCATGTCTGTAAGGCAGCAGTACCTCTGCACCACGGATGCATGCTGAGGCTAGAAAGCCTGGTTCAAGTCCCACCTCTGTGGCTGTGTGGTCCTGAGCCAGTTACTTAACCTCCCTTTGCCCATTTCTTCATCTGTACAAAGAACAGACTTGTTGAAGACAGTTGGGACATAGGGCACACTTAGTAGGAACTCCACAGCATTAGTGGTCACCCTAGGTCTGCCACGCTGGGACCTACTAGCTATTCAGTTGTGATTTGTTGAATGAGTGAATGAAAATTGGCCTTGGGCAGACACATTTGCCAACCACGTGGACTCCCCCAGGGAACCTTTCACTTCCCAAACACCAGTGTCCCCTGACATTCACTCCCATTGTGAGTCCACACCCCTGCTTCCCTGTGCTTCTGTGGGCCCCCACTAGATGCTCCTGCCACACTCACATGTCCCCCAAACTTTAGGGCTCTGGTGCCTCCTGCACAGCTGCCACACCCATGCACACGTCGGCCAAGGTGCCCCGGCAGCCTTCCGAAACACACTGTTGGTGTGCTCTCCCGCTCTACTCAGCACACACCTGTGGCCCCCACGGCTCACCTGCGCTGCAGGTGCACACTTCTGCTGTCTTCAGGGAACATCTGGGTACCCGTGACAACCCAGACTCCTCTTAGGTATGAGCACCTGTGACCCAGACCGCTCCTGCGACCAGGGCGTGCATACCTGGGCCACCACCGCTGCTGGTAACCCCCCCCCCCTCAAGCCACACCTAGGTCACAGCAAATCTGCCCTCGTCCCCGGGGTACACTTCTCCGGGCCCAGGAGTACCTGGATGTTGCGTTTGCTCTCGCAGGCCGGCCCGGTGCCCTGAACCACGCTGTCTAGCACCGCCACCACATCGGGCGCTGGCTCCACGAAGCAGGCGGTGCGAGCCGCGCGGATGGCTCCTTGCACGTCGGCGAAGCGGAAGGCGCAGAGCGCGGCCGGGGCAGCTCGGGCGGCTGGGGAGCCCTGGGGCCGTTCAAAGACGGCGAAGAGCAAGTCACGCGTGGGGAACACGGACACCAGGCGACTGTAGAGGTCGCCGCGGCCCGCGCCGCCCGCGCATTGCAAGCCCAGCTGGATGTAGGACTCGGTGAGCTTCTTGGCGTCGCCGCCCGCGCCGCGGGGCAGGCAGATGCGCGCCAGCAGGCTGCGAGCCTGGCTGTCCTTGTCGCCCGCGCGCGCCTCGCTGTTGAGCGCCAGGTACGCGTAGGGCTGCGCGCCGCGCGGGGGTTCGGGGTGCAAGAAGGCGCGCACGAAGCCCAGCTTGTGCTGCTCCTTGGCGCCCTGCTTGATCTTGAGGATGTTGTCGTCCGAGGGATTGAGGTCGAAGGTGAAAAGTTTGGCTAGGTCTCCGCGCGCGTCCAGAGAGCGGATGGCGATCTCAGGCGTGTTCTCGAAGCGGTGGTCCTCCAGGCTGCGGTTGCGCGGGAAGAAGGCGCTGCCGTAGCCAGTGTACGTGGCGCCCACGAGCAGGCGGCTACCCCGCGCGCCGGCGGCGGGCGGCAGCACCAACCCCACGGTGGACGCGTTGGGGTGGTTGGCGGCCACATTCAGCATGCTGGGGAACACAGTGACTGGCTCTGCAGGCGGCGCGGCTGGCGGGAAGCGCACTGCCACAGCCGAGATGTTGCCCCGGCGCCGCAGCTGGCAGAAGCCCTGGTAGATGGAGCCGCACACGACCACCAGGCCCTGGCCGGGGTCCAGCTGCAGGATCTTGTTGTAGTTGTCGGTGAGGCGCCGCGGGTGCTCGCACGAGGCCTGCGGGAGTTGCGGGGCGTGGCACAGCGGGCTGTCGGGCACCGGGCCCACGGCCGCCTCGGCCTCCAGGCTCAGGTTGGCGCCCGACAGCTGATATAGGCGGTTCACAGCCGCCAGGTACACGGTGCCCGCCGCGCCGTCCAGGGCAAAGTTGTTGGTGGGCGTGGGTGACGGGAAGCGGCGCTGGATCTCCAGGGCGCCGGCCCGCGCCGGCCCGAGCAGCAGAAGCAGCAGTAGTAGAGGCGGCGGCGGCGGCGGCAACGACAGCCCGGGGCCCCGCGAGCACGAGCGCGGCTGCAGGGGGATGGCCGCGGTGGCCCGGGCGCTACGAGCCATCCGGGCAAGCGCGGGCTGCGCGGCGCTGCGAGTGCATGGGGCGCGGCGCGGCCGGGAGCCGGACCCCG